TCCCTATTTCGAAGATAAAATAAAACATTAAAAAAGTTCTCTTGAAGACTATTCATCGATTATTTACATTTACATGACCATGAATCTATTCTTTGAAAAAGAAATGAAGCTACACTGTTGTTGTATGGACTTTAACTTCTGACTTTCTCCGAATTGATGTTATCTGATATGTCTTATTTACTAGTAAATTTCTATATTTAAATATTGGTTGCAATATGAATGTACGTGGGTAATATCCATTCTCCCCTAGCCTTAAACATAGTTCTTATTTATTAATTCTATTTTAAATAATTTTTCGAAAGATTAAAGTAGCAAGAACGAAGTGCACATCATACACTATTTTCCTCTATAAGAACTATAAATCTGAATCTATATGACAATGAATTAAGTACCTAATATAAAAGTTTTTTTGCTATCCGAAATAAATCTGCTAATGTCATTTTATGTTTAGAATATTTATATATTATTTCGATAGCAAAAGTCACTAAGAAATCAAAATATTTCTATGAAAGTGGAAGCTAATAAAGAAAAAATGACTGAACATTTTTTTTAATATATAATCTATATTGTAATGAATATAATTTTCTTTTCCTCGATTTATTTGAATAAAATAATATTTGGATGGATGCGTTTGTTGTTAAAAATGTATACAAATTTGCAACAAGAATAGGAATCTCACTGAGAACGAAAATATGTGAACTGTCAGGGATTTTTCGCGATCAAAAATATGAGTTTTTATTTTGAAAGAGAGACTTTTTGACTTATATGACTGGATTATTCTTGTGAATATCAATGCACGAAAACCAAATGTAAGTGGGGAATCAACTAAATCAAAAACGGTACCAAACATGTATTATCGAACATTTGATTGAAACTTTTTTTTAATAAACTTATGTTCTTGAGGATAAATAGAATGATACATATCGATTGGGTAAGAAGCAATAAAAATTACTGAATACTTATGAGTGCTTCTTTTTGTCTTCTATTAACAACGGAATAAAAAACTTCAATGTTACTAGTTCGTACTATCATCAACAGAATGTGATAAATAGATAAGTTCACGAAAAACTTTCGTTTTATCCAAATTAGAACGCGTTGTTTATAGAAAAAAGCAACAATAAATGAGTTTAAACGATGTATCTTTTTGTTAATGCTGATTCATCTATAAAAATGCGTTACAACGCATGATCTCATTGTGATTTGTTTATGAAATATGTTAAAACCTATTTATATAAGAATATATGTGTTGTAACGGGTTCAACCTTTGTGATCAATCATATTAATGAGTTATAAGGCGTTTTTTCCTTCATTTTTCTGTCCAAACGAGTTGAAACAGTATTTTGAGGTTTGTTGGTCTGCATCAGTTGTAGCCGACTGTCTATCAAAGATTTGAAAAATACTCAGATGATGTCTTTCGTGGGAGAAGAGTTCGTTACAAAATGACAAATGATAGGGTAGGAGAAGGACGTCCAAATATCAAGAAAATGATGACGTCATTTGTCAACGGTTCGATACATATTTTTACTTTATACTACATTATTCTTATACGTTATTTTTTTGATCTTCATCATATTTTATTTCTTTTTTCTCTCGTTCTTGGCTTATTTTTTTTAACTACGTTTAATTAAAATTATTTACCTCATTTTTTATTAGTTTTACTGATTGCTCAAGAAGGTCAAAACAAAGAGATTAGTATAATGAACCTAAAGAAGACATGGGAATTTCACATTTCAGTCCCAGAAGAGCTGCGTTAACAAGCTTTTTTCCTATTGTTTTTGATGATTTTAAGATACATAAAAGAGTTTATGTGTCATTAGAAAATTTTTAGTATAAAGAAAAATGATTCTCAAATCGCTACTTAGCATACCATCCAGCATCCTTTATGATTCAGATATCAATTTCTAAAGTATACTAGCGGCTAGCGAAGATTTATCTATAACCGTTTTAAAAGTTTTTTGATTGTCAAATCATCAATCGCTTGTTTTTAGAATATCTGATTTTTCAACTACTATGAATACTGATCTTTCTGTACTTAATCAAGACGATGTAAAAACATTTGTTAACTTGGCATTAGATCCACCGTTTTCTCTTTCAATGCTTGATTTTGCAAATTGTGTCGATAATGCTCTACCTTCATTATTACCTGATCGTATGAAGCATATTGCCGAAATCGTTCACCAAGCATTTGGAGTTTATGTAGAACCATATCGACTAATGGATAAACTTAGTGGGATGAAACAAAAAACAATCGAGGGTAGTTATATCTTCAAACACAACAAAAATTTAAAGGAAGAATTATTAAAATATTCGTCGAATACATTACATTTTTCAAAACTACCAAAATCAACACCTTTCTGTTTACCAATTTGCATCGAACCTGTCTCGAGTCAGTGTCCACAGTACGTTGATTCTTTTCTCTGAAAGCTTTTTTTTATGTTTCTATTTTCTTATTAGGTGTGATACTAAATTTGATGCTCGATCTGCAAATTTAAAGAATGTACGCCTATATTTAGCAAATGGAACCGTTACGAATGCGACAATAGTTAGTTATTCGTGCAAGTCTTCTTCGTGCTTTCTTGAACTGTATCCAAATTTCATCACATGTTTCCCAAATGATGAACCATCTTACTGTTTGACAACACCAAAGTATTTTTATTATGATACCAATATATATCTCGGCGGTCAGACTGCTTTTGAAAGAACTATATTTCGGCAATATTCAAGTCTATTTGCGTAGGTCAATTTTATTATTTAGGTTGAAAATGAAAAATATTCTTTTGGACAAGCCTATGATTTTGTTCTCTTCAAATTCAAAACAGTCCAAAGAATTGAACTATTTAAGTAGCAATTTTCACAAATTTGTTTAGAATTGAATTCTGCACAAGGAACCACGAGAAACAACATTTTATGTGACAAGTCTTTCTGAAAAGCATTATTTTATAAAACACATCTAAAAATTCAATCAGATATTAGTTCGAAGTCTTTTTCTCGTAAGCAAGCTCGTCAAGAACATTGACAAGGTCATGAAAGTATACAGCACAAACTGATTTATTTATAGATACTAAATTCTTTGGTTTATGCATCGATCTTGATGAACATGGGCTTAAAAATATCGAACAATATTTGGAAAGAATAAGAATTCGCAGATGGCCTAATGAGTAGATGTTAATCTTTCAAATTCAGTGCCAATTAGAAAGAGAAACTGTGAAAAAAGGAATTCGGCAGTGTTTTAGAAAAATGAATTCTCTGTCGAATGAGTTTAGCAACAGATATGAAAACGATTGTTAGGTGTTTAAAAGATATAAAACAAAAGTGTCCTATGATTTCCGCCTAACTTGTCATCTCTTCCCTATTACGAAGATTTCTCACCCACACAGTCAGCAATATGAAATTGATCCATTAAAACATTTCCTTTTTTATTTTATTCAACGCGTTTTAACACATCATCTTTTTTCCTTGAAACGCGTGATAACAGAATGTAGAAAAAACGTTTTTATAGAAAACGCGTTATAACTCGTAATTTGAGATATTTTAACTGTGTACTATGCGTTTTAATGAAGAACAATTTAGTGCGTTAATTGAAACAACACATTGAAACTAGTCAAGAATAAATATAATCCACATGTCTTCATACTACAAACAATATAAAATACAGTAATTATTAGTCAATATCATATACTAGATAATATCGACTTGAAGAAAGTCAAAATTTAAAGAACATATAAGAGTAGTGTACTTTAATTGCTTATTCAAGAATACATTCATAGCAATGCAAATGAAAATAATCGAGTTACAACTTTCTAACGATTTTTTTAATATTTTATTTTATCTTTCAAATAATAAAAATCATTTACAAAAAAAACTAACTTAAGTGTTGAGGATCTTATTTATTCTAAATTTAATATGTCAGATCTTGCTTATTAACTAGGAGAGTTTTTTTTCCTATTTCGAAGATAAAATAAAACAGTTAAAATATTCGCTAGAAAACTATTAATCGATTATTTACATTTAGATAGTCATGAATCTATTCTTTGAACAGAAATGAAACTACACTATTGTTTACGCTCTTTACTTTCTGACTTTCTTCGAATACATGTTACCTCGTATCTCTTCTTTACTAGTAAATATTATATTTAAATATTAGTTGTAATATGAAGGTATATGAGTTCTATCTATTCTTCTATAGTCTTAACCATAGTTCTTACTTATTGATTCTTTTTAACAATATTATTTTCTTTTTCTCGATTAATTTGAATTAACTTTTAACAAATGAATTCTTTTTTTGTTGAAATGATATACAATTATTTCAATAAGAATAGAGATCCAACTGAGAAAGAGTAAAAGAAAATATGTAAACTGTTAGTGAATTTTATGATAAATAATAATAGTTTCTATTTTGAAAAAGAGTTTTTTTTTACTTACATGACTGTGTTATTTTTCAGAAGATCAATCCATGGAAAGTAAATGTATATAGAGAATCAACTAAATGCAAAAATGGATCTCAGCATGAATTATAGAATATTTATTTAAAACTCTTTCTTCTACAAACTTACATACTTCCGAATAAGTAGAACGATGCAAATTGATTGAATAAGACCTTGTCCACACTAAAAGAAATGAATTATATTAATTTCGTTTTAATTAATCATATGTTTACATAAAACAGTTACATCACTGATGAAAATGGAAAATACGCCTCTCTCATGCCAATAAAGTGCGTAATAAAAAATATCACAGAAATGAGAGATGTCTCTGTCGTGCGTTACGATTTTTACCAAAGTGTTACGTATTGAATGGATTTTTAACAACAATTATTCTGATCTTTCTATTCAAAATCAAGAAGACTCTGGATACCAGTAGTTTCGCTAACTACTGTAAAATAATGTGAAGAAGCAAAAAAAGTAGGAGGTGCAGAGATATTACGAATTTTTTCAGATCGGAATAGATGTATGCACAATGCTTTTTAAATGTGGAAGAGAATTCTGATATATATCTATTCATTTTATGATCTTGTTTTAATAAAATATTTGAATTTCTCTAGAAAATATTGAAATCCTATTTTTTCTAATAGAAAAAATTGAAACATTCCGACAGAACAAACTGAACTCATTTTGTCCAAGGAAAATTCTAAGTTTTCTTTCCACATAGATACATATGTAGATGCCTCAATGACTAAATTAGTATATATGAGATATCACAAGTGTCTTTCTTCTTGTCAAAACGATATAACATTTCATTAATACATTAACTTTAAATCCTCAAAAAGCTGACTTTCTTGCTTTAAATTTTCTCGTTATCTTATTTGCTAATTCAATATTATCTCCTCTAGTATGGACAAAACGTAAGAAATAATAGGAATTACTGAATACTGATGGGTGTTACTTTTTATCTTTTAGTAACAACGAAACAAAAGACTTCAATAGTACTAGTTAGTGCTATCATCAACAGAATAGGTTAAATAGATAACTTTATGAGAAGCTTTCGCTTTATTCAAGTTAGGACGCAGTTTTACTTGAAAAACTGCAACCATAAACGAGTTTAAACGATGTATCTTTTTGTTAATTCTGATTAATACATAAAAATGCATTATAACCCATCAAATCCTTATGATTTGTCTATGAAATGCGTTAGTTAAGACATGTTTATTTAAGAATAAACGCGTTTTAACGGGTTTCACCTTTTGGTTCATCATGTTAATGAGTTATATTATGCTTTTCTCGTCCATTTTTCTGACTAAATGAATTGAAACACCATTTTATCATTTAGTCGTCTGCATAGGTTTCAATGAGTTTCTTGCTTTTGCTTCCAGTAGATGTGTCTACTCTATATCATATTTTCCAATCAGACTTGAGCAATGAAAAACGATTTACAAAAAAATTAATTCAGTCGTTTTCTACAATGCATTAGAATCGGTAGAACTATTTTAGTCAACCGATAACAATTATTGCTTGGTAAAAGAGAACAATTGGTCTCATCCCTAGAGAATATACTGAGTTAAGGGTACCCAAAAAAGTACCCTGATACCAGTATGTCACAGGAACTTTTGGGTACCAAAGTACTTGCAGGTACTTACAGGTACCTATGTGGTACTTTGGCAAGTACCCTGCTGGAAAATGCACAGTAATTGGGTACCTAAAGGTACTGATCAAGTACTGAATTGGGTACCATTGTATAGTATTTCTAAGTACCCTGTTACCAAATTTTCAGTATGTTCAGGATCGAACCTGATCTTTGACTTTTTAAAATTTTTTCTTTTTCTTGAGATAATTTACTAGATTTTTTTTTACTTTATTCAATTTAATTTTTTCAATTCCAAAAACTTAGCAGGAACAATGTCGGGATCCGACTCAGCTTGAGTTGGTCGTAGACCACTTCAGGGTAGTCCGATCTTAATTTACGACCAAGCTCGGCATTTCCTCGACTAAGAAATAGTCAAGAAATAATTTAGAAAAAAACTAGTATGAAAATTGATTATTTTCTTATGATTTATCGAGTTGTTTATATAGAGCCGTACGTAAAAAAGAAAACGGTGAATGAATAGTCGCCACACAGAACGCGAAAAATTTAGGATACCCTGACGAGATTTCCTCAGTAAAGTTACAGACTTGTGTATCCATGCAGGTACTTATTCAGTGAATGTACTTTTACGGGTACCCCAAACAGTACATACATCAGTAAAATTACTGAGAATTTTCAAAGTACCCATATTGGGTACCCTGCTAGAGCTTTCTCAGTACATGGGTACCCTGAACTCAGTACTTTCTCTAGGGATGGAGTATGCAATACATAGGTCAAAATAAATACTGCTCAGTAGACATGTCATTCAGAAATTCTCGACTAACTTCGATGATGCTGAACAATGAAAGAAATGCATAATTTCATTTTTTTCAATCATGATCTTACAAATATCGTTTGTTTCGATTGAATCTGAAAATCAACTTTTGAAAAAAGACTTCCACTATTCGATGTTTTAAGCTTTAACAATTGATTTATGTAAATAAAATGTTTTTTTTTTAGTTTCATTATTGTCTCTATCAAAGAACACATCTAGCTGAAGATCGAATAAGATTTATTTATTTATTTAACAACCTGATTTCAACTTTTGCTAGTCAACTATATGTAGAATCTGTTTTGTTTTTCTTTTGAATAAGAGAAAAATCTCTTTAACTAAAATAGATTTTAGAAAGATTATCGATAAATAAAAAATGATCTTAAGAAATGAAGAATTTATTATGTTTAATATAATTCTTGTTATTAATTAGTTGGTGACAAAAGATGATATTGTCATTTCGAATGATTTTTATATTTATTAAAAAGTAAAAAGATAATAGAATTCTAATTCAGATTCGAATAACTCATTGCTAAAATTGGCTCCTAAGAATGCTACAGATTACTTTATATCTGTATGTTTTACACTTTTT